CCCCGGCTCCCCCTCCCCAACCCTCGGCCCCTGGAGGTGTCCCTCCGCGGCTGCCTCCCCCCGCAGAGGTACAGGGGCTCGAGCAGCCCTCCATCATGTGGATGAATGGACACGGAAAGGGAGGGAGAGAGGGAAAAATCCGCCCCGGGACGTGGGCTGTCAGAGTCACCCCAGGCACCCGCTAAATAAACCTCCGGCGCTGGCTTCTGCGAGGGCTGGCGGCAGGGGGAGGTGGCCAGCAGTCCATTCCTGCCGGGATCCTTGTGTTTGTTGGGGGAGGCCTTCAGCAGCCAGCGGGGCAACAGTTGATGACTAGAAACATGTCAAGCCATCCTTTCTTCCCTTAAAAGCCCAAGGGAAAACAGTATGGCATCTTTACTTCCTACTTGCAGATCCCCTCTCTCCTTTCCTCTGAGCAGAGCCATTTCAGCACTGGTTTGAATCTGCACACAAAATATAAGGAAAACTCTGGAGCTAACTGACTACCTCTCTTCCAACACAGTGGCCCTTCATTTTGCTCTGTCTGGCCTGGGGAAACCTGATGCCAGGCTGCCCTCTCCTCCTGAAACCTCACTGTCACAGCAAGGAGCCATTAAAAAGAAAATATGCCCTGCCAGGTCTGTTCTAATCAAAACAGGACAAATAAACTCTGACACTCAACAACTCCCCGAGTGCCCACAGCCCTGGGCGGAGACTACAGATTAGTTATGAATATAGCAGGCAGCAGGGGACAAGCTCAGGGGTTCTGGAGTCACTCCTCAGCCACCTGTGAGCTGTTTAAGACACCACAACCAAACACCGTGTTTACCTAAATTAAAGCATGCTCCCAAGATTAGAACAGCACCCCAAAACTTTAGGTTGTGTTGTTCCCACCAAAACACTTTTGGCAAATTTACCAGAACTCAGAGCTGCATTTTTATTCAATTTACTGTTCCTTTTGTGCATCACCATCAATACAGTAAATGGAGAGGAGAGATCTGGGTATGCCAAGTTTCCCTCTCTTAGGTTTAAATTAGCCCAAAATTTGTTAGTAGTTGGACTCTTCCTTGAGAGGAAAAGGAAAAGCAAATTTACCACAAAAAAAAAAAAAAAAGAAAGAAAGAAATCCAACAGAAAAAAAATACCACAAGAACAGAAAGTCACAACAGAATTCTCAGCAGGGTGAAGATGAAACACACTAAATGCTGCTACGTGTTCCTTTTTCCTGTTAAAACTGGAAAACTTGGACCAGTAAATATATGAGAAAATTCTCAACCTTGATAGAAAACAACAGGGTATCTCGTACCATATGAAATGCTCACAAGTAGTAAAATTGCTTTTAACTCTTTCTCCTGGCATTTTGACTGTGATATATTAAAAAGCAAGAAAGGAAACTAAAAATCAAGCCTCTGTTCCAGACATGAGTATCGCTCATCTACCAAGGATTAAGTCACACTTCAATTGCTCCTTTGAAACCCACTGCTATTTGCAAAGGGCATAGTTACAAAAACATTGTAAATGGCTTTTTTTAAAAATTCCACAGGCACTTTACAAAAGTCTTAAGTGAGAGAATGAGAGAAATGCGGAGAAAATATGTTGCTGTTTAAGTAAACCAATCAATAAGAATAATTAATCCTTTACTGGGATTGAAAAAAAGCAACTCCATC